CCTCCAAGTTCACGTCCGTTTGAATTCCTGTTCCCACTTTCTGCCATGATGAACAGTGATGTCGCTGTATATGCCAAGTGAAACCATTGTTCTCTGGCTTGCTTTTGGTCATGGTATTCCATTATCACAGTAAGAACTCTTAACTAAGGAAACCAACTGCTAAGCCATCTTCAGCCCCCAGCTCAATAGTTTTTAGTTTTGATTAACCTAATTTCAGTGAGCTCGATAGTACAGATTTGTAGCCCAGCCGCTCAAGAAGCAGAGGCAGGATGCTCTGAGGCTTAAGACTTGTCTGGACTACCTGTGGGTTCATGGTTAGCCTAAGTAACTTAGCGAAATTGTATCTCAAAATAAAAAAGTAAAAAGAGGACTGGAAGCAAGCTGGGGAGATGGCTTAGAAGTTAAGAGCACTTGCTGATCTTCCACAGGACCTTGGTTTGGTTCCTAGAACCAACATCAGGCAGCTCACACCACCACGTAACCTCTATCCCAGGACCCAGTGCTCTCTTTTGGCTTTGGGTACCACATAAACTAAATGGATATCTTTTTTTTTTTTTTTTTTTTTTTTTTTTGGCAGGGTTTCTCTGTGTAGCCCTGCCTGTCCTGGACTCACTTTGTAGACCAGGCTGGCCTGGAACTCACAGAGATCCACCTGCCTCTGCCTCTTCAAGGGCTGGGATTAAGGGTGTATGCCACCTCAACCGACTAAAAATAAATCTTTAAACAACAACAATGTAACTAGACATTGAGCCTTGTGGTGCTGATCTGGAATCCAGCCTACTTGGATGATAAAGCTGAGGATAATAAAGTTAAGCCTTCCTAGACTTAAGTGTGAGTCTGTGGTACCCTGGGCAACTTCATGAGAACCTGTCTGAAAATGAAAATTAAAAAAGGACTGGCTATAAATGGCTAACGCTTCTCTTAGATTAAGAATGGAATAGCAGGAGAGATGGCTCAGCAGTTAAGAGCACTGACTGATTTTCCAGAGGTCCCGAGTTCAATTCCCAGCAACCACATGGTGGCTCTCAACCATCTATAATATGATCTGATGCTCTCTTCTAGCATGCAGGAACTCATACACATAAAAAAAAAATAGAATGGAATGGTTCAGTTAGCTAGTTAAAAGCACTTGCTTAGAATGTGAGAATCCGGGGTTTAGTCCCCAGTACTCCGAAAAGAAAAAGGTGAATACAATGAAAATAGAATTATATAAATCATTATTATATAGTCAGCCTCTCTTGCATACTGAAAGATTTTAATCTGAAGTGAGCTGATTATTGAAAAGGAGGAAGAAAAATGGGACCTGCTGGTACACAGTGTTATCTCAGAGCTCCAGAAGTAGAAGGAAGATCAAAGTCATCCAGTGCATGCATGTGGAGTTCCATGCTAGCCTAGGGAGACTCTTGAAATTCTCTCTGTAATGCTGCGGCCAGTGGTGGAGCACACCTTTAAGCCCAGCACTCAGTAGGCAGAGGCAGATGGACCTTTGTGAGTTCAAGGCCAGTCTAGTCTACACAGTGAGTCCAGGACAGACAGGACTGCACAGAGAAACCCTGTCTCAAAGAAAAAAGAAAAGAAATTCTCTCCCTAGCCTTCACCTTCCCAAAAAGAAGGGAGAGGAAGCCAGGCATAGTATATTCCATTGAACATCCTAATAAGAGATGTTGTAGACTTATATCCCAGCTGTTCTCAACTGAACACTGACAAGAGTGTCCAGTGACTTCTCCTTACATCCATCTTCAGGGTCTTGGCATGACCCGAAATAGAGGTCAAACGTTAAGCCTAAACAATCATGGTTAACTTGGTTAACTGTTCCAAGTTGTTGGAACAGTGTCATATCTCTTTCCAGGAGACAGTTTCTTCCTTTGCCTGGCATCAGGCTTTGGCTTTTTTTTTTTTTTTTTTTTTTTCCTTCTCCCAACATGAGATTCCTGGAGACATTCCAATTCCTGATGTCCAGCGGTATATCTATTTCCCCACTGTCCAGGACCTACATCTTGCCCTCCTTGGCAGGTCCTGGTTGTGGCCCTGTTTGCCTTGGGCTCTCTGATGTCTGCCCCACTTTGGGTTCTTACAGTTGCCTCTGTTTCATCATTCACTCACTCTGCCCTGGTGGCATTTTCTTTTCTGTTTTGCCGTTTGAGACATGGTCTCACTACATAGCTCTAAACGTCCTGGAACTTATCAGGCTTCCCTTGAACTCACAGAAATCTACCTGCCTCTGCCTTTCTAGTGCTGGGATTAAAGGTGTGTGCCACCATGCTCAGCTGGCATTTCCCCCCCCCCCCATTTGATTACTAACCATTGACCCAATTCTAAATCCTAAGGCTTAGGTTCATGAATGGAGATTTTTCCAAGTATGGATTCTGGAAATCCAAGTGCAGATGTGTGAATTCTGAAAGAGCCTCACATATGATCGTGATAACCTGCCAGATGGAAATCATTGACTAAGTTTGGGGTGGGGGCAGGCCCTTCTTGGGTCATTTCAGGCAGGTGATTTTAGCCTCCTTTGGTCTTCCTTTGCTCCCTTATCCTAGAGTACAAGACTGAGTAGGTCAGGCTCACTTGAAATACCAAGTATGAAAATGGGGAAAGGATCTAATTGTTGTGATAGGCTCTAGGCTACGTGTTGTAGGTTTTTGCTCCATTTTTTTTCTGTGTCAAAGCTGAAGCTGAAGCTGAACCTCTGCCTTTCCGATTACTAGTAGTACAGACGTGTGCCTCCTCGCCTGGCTAAGCCAACATTTTTTGCGTGGCGATGGTGGCACGTGCCTTTGATCCCAGCACGTGGGAGGCAGGGGCGGGCAGATGTCTGAATTAGAGGCCAGCGTGGTCTATAGAATGAGTTCCAGAAGAGCCAGTCAGGAACCCCGGTCTTTGAGAACCCCTGTCTCAAAACACCAAAATAAATAAATACATAATAAATAAATAAGATTATTTCTTATTACATACATGAGTGCTCTATCTGCATGTATACCTGCATGCCAGAAGAGGGCTTCAGATCACGGTATAGATGATTGTGAGCCATGTGGTTGCTGGGAATTGAACTCAGCTCTTCCCTTGGAAGAGCAGCCAGCACTCTTAATCAGTGAACAATCTCTCCAGCCCCAAGAAAACAATTTTTAAAAACGAGGTCTCAATGCAATTCTGAGTGTCTGCAGCTCCCATGCATATGGATGGTGTTGTATACCCAAGAAATAGGCATCTTGCTATTCTTTTATTTTCTTCAGTGTTGAGTGCTTTGCCTGCAGTGTGAGCTTCCCTGTTGTTTCTGGAAATTAAACCTGGGTCCTCTCTGCAAGAGCAAAGAGTGCTCCTTATGGCTGAGCCACCTTTCATCTCGGATGATTTCTTTAGACTCAACATGTACAAACTTTTGATGGCTTGTTTCAGTTGTGTAGTTTCGACAGTAATGGCTGAGTTCTGTGTAAATCAAACATTCAGCAAATCCAAACTTGTGACTGAAGAGCTGTGATTTTGGTCAAGTTAATTTTTTTTTTCTGCCTAGTTTTTTGAGACATGGTTTTTCTGTGTAGCGTTGACTGACCTGGACTCCTACCAGGCTGGCCTAGAACTCGAAATCCACCTGCCTCTGCCTCTTGTGTGCTGGAATTAAGGACATGTGTCCACCCCAGTCCGGTGGCTAAATTATTTATTTTCGAGAGAGGGTTTTCTTTGTGTGGTCCTACTGTCCAGGAACTTCCTCTGTGTGTAGACCAGGTTGGTCTCTGAGATCCACCTGTTTTGCCTCCCGAGTGCTGGGATTAAATGTGTGGTCCAGCACAACTACCTGTGTGTTTCAAAGATACAAGCCCTGGCTGTCCTGGACTCATTCTGTAGACCAGGCTGGCCTCGATCTCAGAGACATCCGCCTAACTCAGAGATCCGCCTGCCTCTGCCTCCTGATTGCTGCGATCACAGGCGTGTGCTACCATGCTCGGCACCAAAGCAGTCCTTCCTTCCTTTAGTGTATGTATGAGTGCCCTATCTGCACGTGCACCTGCATGCCATAAGAGCATACCAATCTCATTATAGGTGATTGTGAGCCACCATATGGTTGCTGAGAATTGAACTCAGGACCTCTGCAAGAGCAGACAGTGCTCTTAACCACTCTCCAGTCCCTATTTTATTTCTTTTCTTTTCTATTTTAAGAATGAGTCTCATGTAGCTCAGGCTGGCCTCAAGATTGCTGTGTAGTAGAGGGTGACATCTAAACTTTTGGCAGCACCTGCTGATGCTGGGATTACAAGGAGGTGTCACTATAAATTTATGTGGTTTTGGGGTTAGAATTTAGGAGTTAGCGCATGCTAGGAAAACACTCGAGTGAGTTACATCTGCAGCCACACTCCGGTTAACTGAAGAGTAAATAAGGTGTTAGAAGCAGCGCATCTGGCTCTCCTCGTAAGCATTCAGTAAGTAGCAAGCCGTGTTTTTATTTTACATCCTAGCAATCTTGCCCTGCAGACACTGTTTATGGGTTTGATTAGGGTCTCCTAAATCTCGACGGCTTGGTCCACTGGTTTAGCCACTTTCACACCGGACACTAAATGCAGCAACCTAGTGCTGACTGCCAGGAATCGAGCCAGGTCCTTTTCCACGCAGAGTTAGAAGAGAGAATGGGGAAAGAATCATTGTTAGTTCGGAACCTGAAAGTCATTCAGACAATCGCACTGGCAGGACAAAGGGGCTGTCGGCGGGCGTAGCTCTAGCGCTTGGGCAGATGTGGGGAGGTGCGGCCACGAAATCACAGTTTTGTCGGCGAGAGGACCCGGGGCAAGTTTGTCCTGAGGAGGGAAGCCTCCGCACCGCTGACAACCTAGCCTGACTCCCCACCACAAAAACACCAAGCCAAATCGGGAAGCGCTCTTCGGCGGACCAGAGGCAGCCCGCCGCTCAGGGAGGAAGTAATGGCCGACCGCGACGCTACTCCCGAGATGCACCGCGGCGGGCGGGACGGAAGCGCGAGCGACTCTGATGGGGCGGGCCCAGGTCCACTAGCGCAGCGAATTGGTGAGTCCGCGGAGCGCCGGCGGCGTGCTGGAGCGGCCCCCTGGTACGGTAAGTCGGAGTCCGGGCGGTGTCTGCTTTGGGGTTGCCCCTGAGCTCTAACTTCTTCGGACGGATACAGGACTCTGGCTTCCCAGGCGCTATCTGGAGAGGCTGACCAGTTTTCCGGGGAAAGCGGGGGGGTCTCTCGGGTTTGGCCGTGTTTCTGTCGTTGTGTGCCAGGCAGTGCAGCCCGAACTAATGAGGAACATTATTGTGTGGCTGGGCGAATTCTGTAACCGAGTGACAGTCTACCTCTTTACCAGAAACAGACAGTGGTGGGACAGCGGCTGGGAGGAAGGCTGGGGCCGCGGCCGCCTGGTGGGACCATCTGTAGGGCTGGAGAAGAGGCTCGGAAAGCCCGACACTTAGTTCGTTTCCTTCCTCAGCCTCCCACCTTGCTACCATTGTAGGCGTGTGCCACCCCCTTAGGTACCGTTAGGGACGGTTTTAATGCCATACTATTGGGGATACCTTGGAGGAGGGGAGCTCAATAATTCTCCCCCGAATACTCCCGGTTATATTACACATACTTTGGTAAAAAGACATTCTTACCCGGTTTCGGGAGTACACCGTTAATCCCAGCACTTGAGGCACAGGTTGACGGATCTCTATGAGTTCGAGGCCAGCCTGGTCTACAAAGTGAGTTCCAGGACAGCCAGACTGTTACACAGAGAAACCCTGTACTGGGGGGTGGGGGTGGGAGGAGTATCCTTAATGTCTTAGGGTATAGAAATATAGAAATGCAGCATCTTTTTCTCCTGGGTTTCAAACCCAAGGCCTGGTATATACTAGGCAAGTACTCCGCCAACTGAGGTATATCACTATCCTTTAACATTTTTTTAATGTATTGGGTTATACGTGCCATTTTTTATGAGTGCAGTAAATCAGTTCCGCCCTCTCCTTTTATCCCTCAGCTGCAAGCCGAAACTTTCCCAACGGACCCAGGACTCTGGCTTCCCAGGCGCTACCTGGGTGCCTGCATGTCTGTGTGCTATATGGGTGCAGCGCATGGAGGAAAGTCAGAAGAGGGCTCCAGGGCCCCGGAACTGGTTTACAGATGGTAATGAATCACCACTGGAACCCAGATCCTCCAGAAGAGCAATCAGTGCTCTTAACCTAATAGCTGAACCATCTCTCTAGTGCCCTTCCACCCTATATCCTATCCAGTTCAGTTCCCCCCTTTTAATGATACAGGCCAATGGGAACATGGGTGAAATCCTCCTGCCTCACTCTTCTAGGTTTTGGCTAACATGGGGAAACCACCATACCCCACTAGAAAGTTGATTTTGCAAGATGGAAACAGTTGATAACAATGGAAAAATGCTTCCCACTGCAAAACTGTATATTTAAATGGTTAAGATGTTGAGTCTATGTGTATTAACCTCTCCCCACCCCACAACCAATCAAGACCAAGCCCTATCACTGGGCTTCAAAGCCAGCTGCTTAGATACATTGATTGACTGGATTGCAGAAGTGGGAAATGAACCTAGGGGCATCACACATGTATTGAAAATACTTCTTTATTGAGCTATAACTCCAACTACCCCCTTTTTAAAAAAAAGATTTGTTTTTTAAAATTATTTTTTTAATTTTTAACTTTATTTAGTTGTTTAGTTGTTCACTTTACATTCCTCGTAGTCCCCATCCTCCTCTCCTCCTGATCCCCTCCCTTTCCCCCTCCCTACCCCTCAGGAAGGCCCCCACCCCATCCCCACTAACCCACCCCAGAACTTCAAGTCACATTAGGACTGAGGATACCCACCAGGGGGAAGTGATTGAAAAGCATGTAACAGAATTCATGTCAGAAACAGCCCCCACTCCCCTTACTAGGGTGCCCACAAGAAGACCAAGTTGCCCATTGGGTATATATGTTCAGGGGCCTAGATCCAGTCCATGCATAGGACTTGGTTGGTGCTTCAGTAGCCATAGCCCCCGCCCTAGTCCCTATTATGTGCATAACTGTGTGTGTGTGTATGCCATGAGCTTGCCTGGTGCTCACAGAGGCCAGAAGAGAGCCTCATATTTGTTGTGAGCCACTGTATTGGTTCTAGGATTAACCCAGTTCTGCAGGACTGGCAAGTACTAACCCCTGAGCCATCTCTATATCCCCATTGGTTTTTTTAGGCAGAGTCTCAGTAGGTCCACATGTATCTGGAACTACCTATGTATCTAAAACTGGCATTGAACTACTGATCCTTCTTTCCTGCCCCAGTGCTGGAATTTTAGGTATTAGCGAGCCTAGGTCCAGCCTGTTTTCTCTTTTCTTTCTTTTTTTCCCCCTGAGATGGAGTCTTACCAGGTTACAAAGGCTGGTTTTAAGCTTACTCTAGCCCAGCCAGGCCTTGAACTTGTTTTTTTTTTTTTAAGATTTATTTTTTATTTATTTACTACATATACAGTGTCCTGCCTGCATGCCAGCAGAGGGCACCAGATCTCATTATAGATGGCTGTGAGCCACTGGGAATTGAACTCAGGACCTCTGGAAGAGCAGTCAGTGCTCCTAACCTCTGAGCCATCTCTCCAGCCCAGGCCTTGAACTTGTCATCCTCCTTCCTTACCCCATGGAGTACCTGAGATTATGAAATTACAGGGCTGACACACCACATTTTTGTTTTTGTTTGGAACAGGGTCCCTCTAATGTATTCCTGGGTAGCCTGGAACTCAACTATTTAGAGTAGCTTGGCCTTTAATTTGCAGTGACCCTCTGAGTGCTGTGGTTATAGGTGTGTACTTCTACATCATGCTGCCACGTTTTTATCGTTTCTGTATTTATTTACTTGCTAATAGCAAATAAAGACTTAGGTGTCATTGTAGCATAGTCAGACAAAATTTGTTTTTATTGTTTCTCTTCCACTATCTCATTGTGCCTTTCTCTCTGCCTTCTTTCTGTTTTCATGTCATGCATGTTTGTTTGTTTGTTTGTTTTTTGTCCTCTGCCCCTTTAAAAAGATTTATTTTTATTTCCCATTTTCTGTGTATGAGTATTTTGTCTATGTATATATGTGCAACCTGTATATGCCTGGTGCCCTCAGGCCAGAAGCGGGCATCAGATCCTCGGAACTGGAGTTACAGATGGTTTTGAGCTGCCATGTGGCTGCTGGGAACTGAACGAAGGTCCTTTAGAAGAGCAGCCAGATTTTGGTTGGTTGATTTTTGTTTGTTTTGTTTTTGAGATGGTCTGTCTGTTATAGAACTCACTGTTAGACTGGGCGTCCTTGAACTCACAGAGATCTACCTGCCTCTACCTTCCATGTGCTGGGATTAGAGGCTGCGCTACTATGCTCCAATGCAGCCAGTGCTCTTAACTGCTGAGGCATCTTTGCGTCCTCCAGCCCAAACACCTTCTCAACACATCTTGCTCTTGTGATCTCTTTTACCTATACCCATTTCTAAACCCTTCTATTTACTTATATACAAACATTAAAAGTGAGGATCCTAGCTGGTGCGGTGGAGGACCTCTGTGAGTTTCAGGGCAGCCTGGTCTACAGAGGGAGTCTAGAACTGCCAGTGTGACACACAGAAACCCTGTCTTGAAAAACCAAATTAAAAAAAAATCAGGATCCACATATGAGAGAAAATATTCAAACTTTATCTTTCTAAATAAATCTTCACTACATCACTTACAATAATGCTTTACAGATCCACCCATCTTCCTTCAGGTTATAGCCTTTATTGCTGCATATGTATGTCATATGCTCGCTCTCTCCATTTTTTTTTTTTTTTTTTTGAGACAGGGTCTGGGACTGGAGAGATGGCCCAGCAGTTAAGAGCACTACTTGTTCTTCCAGCAGTCCTGAGTTCAATTCTCAGCAACCACATGGTGACTCACAACCATCTATAATGTGATCTGATGCTCTTTTCTGGCATGCAGGTGTTGATGTAGATAGAGTACTCATATATGTAAAATAAATAAATCTTCAAAAAAAATTTATTTGGGGTTGGGGATTTAGCTCAGTGGTAGAGCGTGCCCTGGGTTTGGTCCTCAGTTCTGGAAAATAAAAATATTTATAAGAGACAGGGTCTCACATTAGTCCTAAAGATCTGTCTGTCAGCCGGGCACCATGGCACATGCCTGTTATCCCAGCATTCAGGGAGGCAGGCAGGTGTATTGCTGTGAGTTCGAGGCCAGCCTGATCTACAAAGTCCAGGGCAGCCAAGGCTACACAGAGAAACCCTATCTTGAAAAAGCAAAAACAAAACAACAAAACTCTGTCTATTCTGTCTCCCAAGTGCTGGCATTAAAGGTGTGCTGCTGGTGGATGTCATATTTTTATTATCTCTTCTGTTGACCATCTAAGCTGGTTCCATTTTCTTCCTGTTGTGAATAATATAGCAATAAATGGATGTGCACATTTCTCTGTGGTAGGACTCAGAGTTCTTTGGGTACCCGGAAGTGGTGTCTTGTTCCCTTTTTATTTCTGTGATAAAGCCCTTGAACCAAAAGCAACTTAAGGAGAAAAGGGTTTACATTCCAGGTAACAGTGTGCAGTTTCACTGAAGAAGTCAGGGCAGGAACCTGGAGGCAGAAACTGATGCAGAGGCTGTAGAGGAATGTTATATATTGGCTTGCTCTTCATGGCTGACTCAGCCTGCTGCCTCTTTCTTTCTTTCTTTCTTTCTTTCTTTCTTTCTTTCTTTCTTTCTTCCTTCCTTCCTTCCTTCCTTCCTTCCTTCCTTCCTTCCTTCCTT